TCAATCAAAAAACAAGAGCTAAAACAAAACTTAAAACCCCAAATCAGCTACAAAACCAGGGAGTCCAGCGCCGGGACGCGGCTCCAGGGGGGCTCACGGGGCAGCCCCGGGGGGCGTTGAGGCAACAGCAGCGGAGACGCACTCGAATAAATATTTTGGGGGGTGGGCTCGGCACAGTCCGGGGGTGCCCGGCCCGGCCGCCCTCACGTCTGGTGGACCTCGTGGAACATGAGCTCCCGGGGGATGCGGGTCTCGGGCCCGAAGTTCTTGGCCGCGCGGCGCTCGAAGGCGGCCACCATCTGCTTGACCACCTCGTCGAAGAACACGGTGGCCAGCTGGGAGTGCAGCAGGGAGCGGAACTCAAAGGAGATCTGGGCAGGAGGAGGAGGAGGAGGAGAGCGGGTGAGCCTCCTCGGCAGGTGAGCCCCGCACTCCCCGGGGATCCCGGGGCGGGGTCGTACCGAGAAATCCACGGTGCTGGTGCGGGGGTAGCCGGGGATGCCGGGGCTGAAGCGCCAGTTGGTCTCCAGGTGGTTGAAGAGGCGCCCGTCGGTGCAGACGGCCTGGGAAGGGGAAAAGCAGCGGTCAGGGGGCCCAGGGGCCACCGGGATCACGGAATCCTCGAGGCTGGAAAACCCGCCTGGATCGAGGCCAGCCTGGCATCCCCAGAGTGCCAAATCCTCCAGGGATGGGGACTCTCAACCTCCCTGGGCAGCTCCAAAGCCTGACAGCCCTTTCCATGGAAAAATTCCTCCTGCTGTCCCTCCTGAACCTCTCCTGGAGGAATCTGGGGCTGTTCCTTCTCATGCCGGTGTTCCCTGGGAGCAGAGCCCGGCCCCAGCCGGCCCCGCTCTCCCATCAGGGAGGTGTGGGGTGAAAAGATCCCTCCTGAGCCTCCTTTTCTCCAGGCCCAGCTCTTTCCCAGCCCCCTCAGGACTTCTCCAGAGCCTTCTCCCCACCCCTGATGTGCAGCCCGAGGTCCCTGCTCACCTTGACGAGGTGTGGCCGCACCAGGGTGACGATGGACGTGTAACGCTCCAGCACGGGCGGGAACCCCACCTCCAGCTGCGCCTTGATGTGGCCCGAGCGCCGCGACACCACCACGGACTTCTTGCACCAGGGCACAAAGTTCTTGTAGTCCTCCACGTTGGCCACCACGTCGTACATCTCCTGCATGGAGTACCTGCGACAGGACGGG